TTTGGAATACTGACCACATGTACTAAATGAGATGTTACCTTGAAAGAGCCTAGAATGATTCCTTGGCACATTGTTATGGGATGAAAGTTAAGGTTAGTTTATGTTGCTACCTCATTTATACATTGTTTCTGAGTTGGATCTATGAGCTAGTTTCAGTAATTTTCAAATAACCTCCTTTATCTTCCCTATCGTGCCTTTGATTTGAAAAAACAACAATACAGCAATTTATATACTTTATAACATGAGCACTTTTACCAAAAAGATAGTAGATAGATGATAGATAGATATTCTATCTATATCTAAGTCTACATTATCTGTCTATCATCTATCTATCTATCTATCTACCTACCTATATATCTATATACCTACCTACCTATCTAAGTATCTGTCTACCTACCTACCAGCTGAATAGAGAAAAGGCTAAACTTGGAAATGCAGGTAGTTAGGTTAAATTTATTGGGGTGACATTGATTAGTAGGATCATATAGGTTTCCACTGTACATTTCTATAATACATGTTCTATATATATATAATCTATATATTATCTATAATGATATATAAACCTGATTTATTTATTTTAATAAGCTACAGTGTTTAATAAACTACAATGCACTTATCCTTACTTTTAATGAATTGATATTTAATTGTTTAAAATAACCAAGAATTGGAAATAGTTCAGGGAACATTTTTCTATATTTTTCATTGTACCAATATTTGAGACCCTTTCTAGTATATATCAAGGAGTGAATTACTATCTTTTATAAATTTTAGATACAGAATCATTGTTATATTTCCTAATAGTATCCTTTCCGTACTTGTATTTTATCCTTTTGTTCTGTTTATAGTACACTTTTTAGCATAAATGTTTTAAATTTTATGGCATCAAATTTATCAGTGTTGTCATTTTTAGTTGATGAGTTTTAAACAAAAAAGAAATTCTACCCAAACTCAATAGTCTCCTGTATTTTCTTCTATAAGTCTTAAAAATTTGTTTTTCACACTTGGTCTTTTTTAGATATAACTGACATATAACATTGTTACTTTCAGGTGTAAAACATAATAATTTGACATATGTATATATAGTAAAACTAGAGGCCTGATGCAAACATCCATTTAACACAAACTTCTATTAAAATATAAAACATGTCCATCACCCCAGAATATTTCCTCCTGTTCCTGTCCAGTCCATCCTGCAACCAATACCAATCCTAAAGCAACCACTCTTCTACTTTCTAAATTCACTATAGATGAGTTTTGCCTATTTTAGAACTTCCTAAAAATGGAATGTTTGGGGGATTCCTCCATGCTGTTAAATACCTCAGTTAATTTCATTCCTTTGTATTGCTGAATAGTATTCCACAATACAATACATATTAATTTGTTGATTCATTCATTTGTTGTTTTTGACATTACGAATAAAGCTGCTAGGAACATTCTTGTGCAGATCTTTTTTTAAAACTTATGGTTAAATGCCTAAGATGGAACTGCTGTATTTTCAGAGCATTTGACCTGTATAAGAAACTGACAGGAATTTTCCCAAAGTGGTTGTTTCATTTTCCACTCCCACCAAGAATGTATTCTCCACACTTGGTGGAATTGGCCTTTTTAGTTTTAGCCATTCTGGAGGTGGTGGGGGGTGGAGACTTCCATCTGTAAGCATGCCTCCACCAGCTCCTGCTCATTAGAGTAAAACCTACCCCTCACTAAGCCTTCTCCCCAACGATTTAACTCAAAAGTTAAATGGGGATGGGTCTTACATTTCTCCTAGACCCTAAAAGAGGAAAGGATCTACATCTACTATTTGTCCAACTCTTCAATCTTGCTTAAGAAGACAAGTTTTTGCCAAGACAGGTTTGGCTCAGTGGATAGAGCGTCGGCCTAAGGATTGAAAGGTCCCAGGTTCGATTCCGGTCAAGGGGCATGTACATTGGTTGTAGGCATATCCCCGGCAGAGGGTGTGCAAGAGGCAGCTAATCAATGATTCTCTCTCATTGATGTTTCTAACTCTCTCTCAATCTCCCTTCCTCTCTTTAAAAAAATCAATAAAATATATTTAAAAGAAAAAGAGAAGTTTAAAATATCATAGCAGTCATCTGACGGAATCAAGCTCTGAATTTAAAGTTATCTTCTGTTTCATGATATATTTTGAGACAAAAAATTCTCACCTCTAAATCCCAGCCTTTGTTTCCAGAAAGATTTAGAATCCTCAATAATCTAGACAAGGAAAACTCCCAGTACTCAGGTTCAGCAACTCTCCTTTCAGATTCCCTAAGAACGATTCTTCACATTATCATAGCCACGCTATAGGACAAGTTTGGTGTCCCCTCTTTACAGACTAGATAACTGCACCAATGCCAAGAGTCCCAAGCACAAGATTTGTGACGGTTGCACATACATGTTCCTATATGTGTCTCTCCCCTTGCAGGCACCTTCTTCATGGCAAACTCTTTCATGAGGCTTTTTGGTCCCACATCCTGCCCTCCCATCACCTCCACCTTGGAGGCCAGTGCCCTTGTCAAGGTCTCTCCACCACGTCTGCTCCCAGGCCCACTCATTTCCCCACTTGCATCCTCTCTCCTCCTGTTTCTTCCAACTCTGCTCAATTACCTCATAAAACTCATTTTCCCTCGTCCTTTCTCTCTCTTCCATATGGGAACTAAAAATGTATTCTAAGCTTGCCTGACAACTGCCAAAGTAGCACTAGTGGTGTAATGAAGTGAGACATAATGAAGAATCAATGCCATCAACTAAAGCCCTTGAAAGTGCCAAGAGGTTCCTTTCACAAAAGAACTTCTACTTTCTCAACCCCTCCTAATTATGCTGGATTTTCCTTAAGGACAGGCATTCTACATAAACAGAAAAAAATGTTTGTCTTCCCTTTTGGATTTCTCTTTTAGTTACTAGTATTGCAGCAACATTGTCTTCTATTACTTTGGTTGCAAAGACACAGCATGTCAATTACATTTTAAGTTAAATTGCAATGCTATGTCTAAGAAAAATCATGTTGTCAATGCCAAACTGACTTAAACTTCTGGAATCAAATCAATTTCTAAATTAGAACTTGCATTTTTTTTTCCTATTTTGTTGTAAACATTTGTTGTAAGAATTTCCCTTTGGCATATTTTTTATATATATAAATGTATGAAAATATATTAATAGCATCCTCAACATCACAGCTTTTTATGCAATAGTCTTACCAAGAAAGTATATATTATGACCTCATTTTACAGATGAGAAAACTGAGATTCAGAAAACTTTAGCAACTCACAACTAGAAAGTGGTAGAGCCTGAATTTACATATTAGTTTGTTGGCCTCCAGCTGATGTTTTCATAGCCACTATGCTGTCCTCCCCCATCTCCTATATTTCCTGGTACCACCCAGCATACAAAATAAAGTTTCCCAGAATCCACTGGAAAGAGCCATCACTGTGTGATCCCCTGCCCCTAATTCTCTGCACTGCCACCAACTTCTTCCCCCAAAATTGTTCAGATCTCACCAAACCCCAGAAGAACAGGAAAAGAGACCAGCAAAAGCTCTGAAGGTAAAACATTTCATCAACTGAAAGCTATTTTAAAAAGCAAAGCTGTATCTAACAAAGCATACCTGTGCAAACAGTGCCTAAAACATATTTTAAATAGCTCTCACATGGTTCTGAGTGTCAACACAGACTACGGTTTATGCAGCTGTCTATTCTGTTATCCAGAGTAAGGGGCTTTCCTTATGAGCTTGCTCCTAATAGTTTTAATACAGACTGGCTAACAAAATACCATTAAATTAACATTTCATGGGATATAGCACAGTTAAAGGCTAAAAAGAATAAGAGTTCTCCCCCTCCCCCAAATAAAGAGAAAGAGCCCAGATTTGGTTTATAGAACCAACCTCCTTCTACCAGCTATGCTGGCTCTTCATCAATGCTGACATGAGGCTGGAGTTTATTACCCCACACAGCCTATCATGTAGTTATTGATTTCATCCTTATATCAGGAAGACTTTGTTGCTGATGGTGACAGTCTCAATTGCCCTCCTCTCTAACCTCTTCTAATTTACCTCTTACACTTGAAAGGCTGGAAATTCAACAACATTTTTTCAGACTCTCTTGCAGCTAGCATTCTAGATACAAATTTGGATCCTTTGAGTAGATGAACTTACATGAGACCCACAAAGCAGAACAGAAGCAAAAACTATCTTCCTGCCCCCATTTAAGCTGGTTTGTTTTTCACTAAAGGTTCACTAATTTTTAGCAGCATCATGCCAGTGCTCAATCTCTAAATTCTTGGGCTTTGAAAGGTAGTTGGCAGGAACTGCTTTCTTATTCTGACTTCCTGAACCCTGGACTGCAGCTATTAGAGTACGTCTTTTTTCCAGTGGTGATCTCACAAGTGATGAGTCCGGCCCGTGTTGCCCCAGATCTTCCTCCTCCATCAACACCATAACCACTAACATTTCTAGAATGCTCACTATGTGGTAGGCACTGTGTAACACTGTACATAAAGCATTTTATTTGCACCCCAAAAGAACTCCATGAGAAAAATACCATTAATATATTTTTTTCCTCTAGATGAGTATACCAAGATTAAGAAAAGACAAGCAAACTGCACAGATCAGAGCAACGCTAGTAGGTAAGCAAGTAGACCTGCCTCTTTGGAGGTATTTGAAGGCCTGGAATCTGTAGGAAAATATCTTGTTTATCCAGCCATGGAAACTTAATTGCCCACATACGTGTATTATGATGCTGAAAAGATGCATTCTTTTCTCTTAAACAATATACACATAGAGATCAGCCTATTTCGTGTCAAGAGGTGTTTAGGTATCAAAGAAGCCTCCAATCTAATTAAATCGAAAGACAATTACAAAACACAGAGGTATCGCTCTGTAAAAACTCTCTAAGCTATACCAAGATCACTTTTACTGTAAAAGTTAAAGGCTGAAGATGAACGCACGCACAGTCTTGTACTAGCTCCTGGAAGGAACAGAGCTGGGGGAACAGGCATGCACTTACCAGGCGCTCTGTTCACAGCGAGGTTTCGGAAATGGCTGCCTTTGATCATTTCCACAGATAATCGCCCCGTTGTGGCGTTGTAGGACAGCCCCACCAACAGCTCTGGTGCCCCTCCATGAGACAGCGACTGCGTGGATGAAGCACTATCACTGTGAGAAACGGCAGATGGGCTAAGCGGAGACTCTCCACTCTGGAAGGGAAGAAAAACAAAGAACCCATTGGTGCACGCTGCACTTCTCTCTCTTACAGAGAGCCAATATTATGTTTGGTGAAATTGTGGCCCGGTCTCAATGGCTGCCAAAGATTACGAAGGAAGGGCGCACTCAGTGGGAATGATAATAGGCCCGGGGAGCCAGCCCGGGATGTGATCCCCTGCATTATTAACTGACATCTTTGTTTCAAGAGCTGTCTCCATCCAATGTTTCCTCTCCAAAGACAAAAACGAACCAAGATGTTATTACTAGTGTAAATCAAACACTCTAAGATACACAGCGAGCTAATAATACATTTAATATAGACCAAAATTCCCTCCTGTGTGATTTGTGCTCCAGTGCTTCTGTGGAACCCATCCACTCTGTTCTCTGTAGATCCGTGATGAATGGGGCAATTCAAAAGGCATTTTGTCTTCAATGGAAAAAGAAATGACCACTGGATGTCTACCAATGCATAGGACATTTGGTCCCTAATTCTGCTCCTAAGGTTGTCAGGAATATGCCTTGATGCTCTGTTTTTTTTTCTCCTAAGAACTAAATGACATTGAAAATGAGCACTTTTACAATTTTTTTTTATAAGGAAGCTGACACATAGACTGTTATCTCAGAGACCTGGCAGGCAATAGGTGGGCCCAGAACAGGGCCCCTGCCTTCTGTTTATCCATGTGCATGCTTCTCCAAAGCACCCACTTTTGAGCACCAGACACTTCAAGAAGGGGAGAGGGGAAATGATCAGCAAGTTGATTCTCATTCAGGAAGGGAGAGTAGGTATCAGGTCTGCAGGGGAAACTGGCCAGCCTCTCGGGCCCACCGGTTCTTCCACCAGAATTATGTACATGGGACTTTGCTCAAACCTTTCTTCTCCACATCTAATATCATTTCCTAAAGCTTCTTATCAGAAACGCCAATGAACAAATGCAATAAAAGTAATTAACTATTATTTATATCTGTAGGAAGATATCCTTTTTATCCAGCCATCGAGAGCCCCTGCTTTCATGGAACACAATTTGTAAACTAGAGGGCCAGGTGGTTTTGACAAGCACCTTAGATAAGAACCTACTGGATGATGATAACCCAACAATGGAATATTTGTTTAGTTTTGGGTGAGGATTCACCCTCCCCTCTGTTTCTACAGAAACACATCTACTGTGGGCTGCATAGCTTGCCTCTCCCAGCAAATTCCCAATCCTTATAAACCTCTCAGGCCACAGAGCATATAATCATGTTTAACAAATAACTGGAGAATGGAAAACTCTTGACCTCGAAGTTCTTTGATACTGACTCATGTTCCCCACTCAATTCTGTGCTCCCAGAGCAAAGCACAGGGCCTGCCACAGGAAACAGGGGTATGATCATACCTAACCCTGAGGTCTATAGTGAGGGCAGGACACCTGACCTCCGTGGCTTATGTTTTTCATGATTTCAGATACACTTTACTCAGAGCTTAAGAAAAAATAGGGGTTTAAGCGAAGATGCGACGTGATCTGGCTTATGCTTTAAAAGGCTCATTCTGAGCCCATGTTTGGTATAGTCTGAAGGGCAGAGACAGAAGCAGGGAGAACATAGGAGGTCATTTCTTCCAGCAGAGAGTCGGGTTCTGGTTATATTTTAAAGACATAGCCAATAGGATTTCAGGTAGAAAGGAGAGAAGTCACAAATGACTTGTAAGATTTTTTTTTTATTTGAGCAACTAAAAGGAAGAAATTGCCTTTAGCCAAGATTGGAAGACCGTAGGTGGAATAGAATTAGGGAGGCAAAAAAATCAGGATGTCGAGTCTGGAGATATTAATTTTGAGACATCTACTAAAAATATAAATGGCTAGTTCTCCCATGGCTACACTCTAACCTTTCTGACTCCTTTCCTCTTCCTCAGACATGATGAGTGCCTTTCCACCCCGACACCTGCATGTGCCATTCTCTCTGTCTGACATCCTTGTCCTCCACACGTCACCAGCTTTTCCCTTGATTTCTTGAACTCTATATTTTATCACCACCTCAAAGAAACTTTCTCTGACTCTTTTGAACAAAGAGCAGCCTCTGTCAATGTCTTTCCTTCCTGCTTTGGTTTACCTACTGTCGCCCTCTTCCACAAATTCTAAGTTCCTGGAGGATGGAGTCACCACCTGTTTTGTCCTTTCCTGAATCCCCTTCATAGCACCTGACACAGAACAGGCACTGTTTCATTCATTCACAGGCACATTCATTCAAAACAGTATACATCTTTGAATGAATGACTGAGTGGCTCAAGAGAGTTACCTGACCTTTTTATATTTTTTTTAAGGTAATAGTCACACTACACATTACCGGTGGCAATAGTGAGATGCCCATCTTGCAGACATAAAGCTGCACTTTCTTTCCTCAAAACCCCAGGGGAGGCAGAGGATGGGGCACATGGAGGAGTTTGTCATATAAATGAAAGGTCTTCAAGGTGGCTGGAGTTTTAGGCTACTGTTTGCAGATTATTGAGGCACATTTGTCAATGACCTCACCTTGAGAGTCCTATCTCTGAGTGCATCAGAATAGATATTGTTGGAGGAGCAGGACTATGGGTGGTAGGACCATTTATTAGCTAACTAGAAGGCCTAGCCACCTCTCCTGGTTTTCCCATGCCCAACACACACTGTGCTCTTATTTCCTAAAATGGACATCTATCAGAAAATAGACGGGCATGAAAAACCCAGGGAAGCATAAAGTGCAGATTGTGGCTTATAAGGATGAGGAGAACCAAATGGAAAATTAAATTAAAGTGTTGTATTTCACAGGCTGAATGTACTAAATCAAGGGCTGACCATTCTACGTCCTTGAACACACCACGTCACTGGCAACACCTTTTAACCTACTCACACTGATGTTACTTCTTGGCTCCAAAACCAGAGTCACTTTCATTTCCTCTTCTGGGTGCAGGTGGCTGAGATAGAAGAGTTTCTCTCCCATCATTCTCTCACGGGTCATCTTGCGGGCAGCGTACAGGCGGAAGCGGACGGCACAGCCAGCCACATCTCTGGGCTCCAGCTTGGCGAAGGTGACCTTCTCCTTGAAGACAGGGTTGGGCCCTCTTTGAATGCCCGTCCTGCTCCTCTGTTTCTTACTGGGCAGCAGGACTACATGAACTTGCCAGGAGTTGACGCCACTTCGGTCCTTATCCGGGAGGCCCTGTGCTCTCACAATGGTCACTGTGAGTTTCTGGCTGACAGCTCTATATTCAAAGATGACATCCAGATCACCACACTTTGAGATGGGTTCTGGGACTCCTGATGGCAGCTGAAAATCAGCCCCATCCTGCTCCTGTTGTAGACAAAGGAAAAGATTAGGAATGGAAATGATAACATCCACTGCATTTCAGTGAGACGATGCCCCTCTGCTCCTTCAGAACCCGGCACTTTTTTTTTTTAACTGTGAGCTCAGATCCCTCTATATTAGAAAGGTCTATTTATTTGTTTATCTCTCCATTATATGGCAAATGTTTTGGAGGGCACAGTGCCTGGCACATAGGGACAAATGAGCAAAGCTTTTATGTTCTGCAGTATCTTCCTCTCAAAAAAGCATAACTGACCACTATCATTGAAATCAACTGAGATACAAAATCTAAAACGAGGAAGCTACACAACTGCTGAGGGAGTCCCAGGAGAAATAGTTGAGCCTGGACCTGTGCTACCTTGAGTCCCAGGAGAAATAGTTGAGCCTGGACCTGTGCTCTATGGACCAAGACCTCCTTAAGACAAGAATCCTAATAAAATGTGGGTCATGGATAGGTGACCTCTCAGTTGATATTCAATCTACGTGGGAGAAAAGCTTAGGGCAGAGCTTCTCAAATGCATGTGTGTTCTTGAATCATCTGGAGAATCTTACTCAGTAGGACTGGGGTGAGGCCTGAGATTCAATTTTCAGAAGATGAGGAGGATATCACAGTTGTCCCTGAAGCACATTTTGAGTAGCAAAGGTCTAGGGTGGCATCCCCAGTAGCCATTTCGTGATCAGCAACATTGGATTTGGAGACAGAACACCTAGGTGGAATGTATATACAGGTGTCAAGCGGAATTCATCATTCTATCACTGACTAGCTTTTTGATCCTGGCCAAATAGACCATCCTTTCTGTACTCTTCTTAGAAAAAAAAAGAGAGAGAGCATTAAGATGCCTACTTGATAGAGTGATGTTGTGAGGTTTTAACAGATGTGAAAAAATACCTGGCTCAGAACAGACTCCATAAATATCTATTCCCATTAGTAGACTGGTGCTCCCTATTTTCAAACAGGCTCCCCTCATTATGAAATATCACCTTTAGACAGCAATTCACCTGTAGCCAGTCAGATCTGATGACCTCACTGAGAAAACTGAGCTGAGCTGCATTTACTGTAATGAGTCACCCTCCAACAGACTATAAATCATGTCAACCTAATTTGATTTTCCCTCCGAAGGCATGACTCTTGCTCATAACTAAACTTTGGTCTGGTTTCTTATTGTAAATCAGAATCAGTCCTTATTTATGTAATGGAGCACTAGACTTTGCTAATTCAAAGATCTCTTTATATATATATACTGGAACAATGCACATGCAGCAACATAACTTTCCAACAGAGTCCAAGTAAGAGTGCACAGTTCTTTGGACAGCCTTCGGAATCCCAAGTCTACTTCCTGCTACCTCAAAGACATTGGGTAAGTTATTTAATCTTTTCCACTTCCTGTTTTTCTCAACATTAACATGAAAAGGATACCTATTTTATAGGGTTGTTGTGAAAATTAAAGGACTTGACATAAGGGAGACATCTATTAAATGCCCTCTCTCCTAAGATTCACATCAGTCTACCAGGAAAATTTAGGTTTCTTCCAAATTAAGGGTAGCTTCTTCTATCTTCTCCTCTGAGCATGCATGCATTCATGTGTGAGTGTTTCTATTCAGAGGTTCTTGGTTTCAAGACATAAAAGTGGTTGCTATAGAGACTTTTGAATACAACTGACTAGTGTAGATATAATATTAGCAGCAAGTCTCTAAGGAGTGAGGCCAACTCAAAACTCAAGTCACAGACTTCTGTTAAAATTCCCATCTATTTTAGTCTACTCTTGATCATCTCTATATTGCTCGTCAGAACATAAGTAATAATAACCCAGCCAGCATGGCTCAGTGGTTGAGCATTGAGCTATGAAGCAGGAGGTCACGGTTTAATTCCCAGTCAGGGCACATGCCTGGGTCGTGGTGTTGATCTCCAGTAGGGGGAGTGCAGAAGGCAGCCAATCAATGATTCTCATAATTGATGTTCTCCTCTCTCTCTCTCTCTCTCTCTCTCTCTCTCTCTCTCTCTCTCTCTCTCTCTTTCTCTCTCTCTCTCCCCCACTTCCTCTCTAAAATTAATAAAAATATTTTTTAAATAAGTAATAATATATAACATATACTAAGCCCTCCCTATGCCAGGTGCCATACTACTAAAGCCTTTATAGACTGCAAAAGCCAGCATTTATGCACTTCAGACTTTCTGGGCCTTACCTCTTATTCCATCTTCCCCTCCAGGCCCAGCCTGTCTTGGGCTCTAAGTGGCTTCAGCCTGGAGAAACTCAATAAAGCCTTACCTCCTGCCATGCCACATAGCTCTCAGCTCCCACCACAGGCTCTCTGCTGATGTCAAGGCTTAGAAAGTCCCAAAATCCTGCTTGGCACTCATGTATAGAAAGTCCAGAGTGTGGGGGGACTTCAAGCCTCAAATACTAAATGTTTCTCCCCTTAGAAAGATGTCCTGAGATTAGTTTGTACAGCTTCACAGAGTACAGTCCCCACAGGATCAAGTCATGAGTCACACACTTAGTGGTGCCAACTTGATTATACTTATAATGACACTCCGTTCTCCCCTGCCTCACTCCCATGTCCCTCACTCTTCCCTGGGATTACACATCCTGTGCTTTTCGGGAAGTGCAGCTAAGAAGCATTATCTTTTAAAATATTCACTTTAACCTATTGAGGTATGTATTTTAATATCTTCCTTTTTATAGGGGAGAAAACCAAGGCTTACAAAGGCTAAGTAATTCACTCCATGCTCCCAACATCATAAGCCCAGCCAGGACTATCCATAATTTACCCGTATAAATGCTTAAAATCCCAAACCTTATGTTGAACCACAATGTCTCTCTTCTCCCCAAAGCCTTTCGCCATAGCAATTTATGTGTATAGTAAGTGTGTGAGATGCAGAGGAAATAAGATTGGAGAAGAGAGTTGAAAACACACACACTATTTGGAATTTCACATCCTTTTAGGCTCTTGCTCTTAGTATTTGTTACCAGTTCCCAGTTTTGCCATCAACTTCAATGCCAAGGTAATGTTCTAGTTAATGACTACTCTCCACTTATCCCTCAGGCTGTCTATTCAGATAAATGCCTGCTGCACCTCGGGGTTTGTGACAAAGACCTGGGAGGAGAGAGGGGTCTGAAATAACTGAGTTAGACAGCTACCAGCAAAGACCAGGCTGTGGATGAGGACGTTCAAGTTGCAGCCCATGAAAATGTGGCCCCTTCCTTCGTTAGTCTAAAATGAAGATTTGTGAAGGCAGGTCCTTTCAAAGCAATTAATCATTTCAACATATATTACCTATCACCAAGCAACTAAAGGCGCTCCTCATGTGGGTACGGTTAATATCACTAATCCATCTGACCTTCCTGCAAGGTAAAAATCTCTTCATTTTTATCCCCATTTGGCAGATTTTAATTAACTTCTCAAGGCCAACCAGTTAATCAGTAGGAACAGATGAAAAGTGGGACACCCGCCTCCCTGTGTGCTCAGCATCCCCAGCCGCCTTCCCATCGTCCTCTCCACCAAGCCTTGGGTGTGCAGGGAAGAAGAGTCTTTCCAGCCGGGAAGCACAGGGCATGGAAATCCATCAGACTAACAGGGAGTCACGCTGCATGACCTGTTTCCTTCTGAGTCCAAATAAAATTGGATTCCTTTAGCTCTAATAGCCTGTTTTTTTGTTGTTGTTTTTTTCTTTAAGATGGAAATACGTGTGCCACATTGTCAAAAACCCATGTAGGTTTAAAGATTTTTCTATCAAATTGAAAGCCTTTTCTGTCTTAGTAAAACAGTATTGATGTCATCAGTGTGGCCCAGAGTAAACAGACCCATGATATGTTCCCGATGCCAGATACAGGGGGAAGACGGGGCTCTTAATACAGCTAAGAGGCAAATAAATCAATTCTTAAAAGGCTAGCTAAGCCTGCCAAGCAGGCAGTTACAGGAACTGTCTCCGAGCCGCATTTGAGGTTCTACTGTAAGAGCACAGATTACAGTTTTTGTCTCAAAATAGATAGGAGGTTGAATGGTGCACACAGAGATGTCTGGGTATTTTGGGAGTCTGAGAACATTTAGTGCCCTCAGCTCCAAGGCTTCTATTAAAGCTCCGTGAGGCAGGCAAATGGGCAATTACCTGGAGAAGCAATTCCAGGCTAATGGCATAGTGATCAAGGGGGACGGAGTATCAGTAGGCTGGGAAACAGTGCTGTTTTGTTTTTGTGGTGAGGGAGCCACATAGAATGTTATTGTGTGGGATTTAGTATGACTCTTGGTAGTAAACTGACAAGAAAGTACCCTTGTTTTATAAAACGTATAAGGTTAATAGCTTCAGGTGTCTCTAATATGAGGGGTGCTTTTAACAAGCTGCACATACAGATTGGAGTTACCATCTCCGGTCCTTAGCAAAAACACCAACACAGGGGCATGCACACTCATGTGCTTATCTCATTACACTCTCTCTGCACGCCCCAGTGTGTCAGGATTTGGAACATGATTTCCTGTCATTCTTTTCCTCCTCTCTGGTGAGCATTTAGTGCTTATTATAGTCCAGGTCCTAATAAGAGATTTATCCTGTTTATTTTAAGTCAGACTGATGCTAACAAAACCCATTCATCCTTCTCCTTTCTCTATTCCACAAATTACATAGAAGTTTTATATATTTATATATGACTTATTTCATCAAAATTAATTTCAGTGAAGGTTTTAAATACCACCATTTAGTATCTTTTAATGTTATAGAATCATTATAGGAGGGATCTAGCTAATAAGGAATAACCATAAAAGCCTGCAAGATAAAACAATATTTGCAAAATCCTTATCACAGTGCTTGGCACATAATAATTGGTCAATAAATGCTAGTTTCTGGCATCAACTCCAATCTAACTTTTGGTTGGTTAGGTGTATTCTGGAATAAGTTTTTTTTAAATATATTTTTATTGATTTCAGAGAAGAAGGGAGAGGAAGAGAGAGATAGAAACATCAATGATGAGAGAGAATCATTGATAGGCTGCCCCCTTCATTCCCCCCACTGGGGACTAAACCTGCAATTCAGGCATGTGCCCTTGACCAGAACCAAACCTGGGACCCTTCAGGCCACAGGCTAATGCTCTATCCACTAATCCAAACCAGCCAGGGCTGGAGTAAGTTTTAATTGAAAAATAAATTTAGAAGAGGCATCTTTTATCATAGATTTACTTCAGAAAGCAAAACCAATGGCCAGACTAATGTCATCTCTTAGGCCTTCAATTCACTGAAAAGCTAAAACATATGCTGCAAGATTATCATCATAATATCTTATATAATTTCATTTGAAGGGCCACTGTATTTTAATTTTTAAATAATTCTCATATTCAAATAATCGTTACTCAAGATTTGGAGTAAATAAAAATAGAGTCCAATTAATTGAAACCATTAAAACAAAAAGTCTCTCTAAAGAACTAAAATCTCTTTTATGTAAAAAAGAAGCCTAGTTGTTTCTGGGCCCATTATGCCATTATTCTAGTTTCTCTTTTTCCATTTTGATAGAAATTTATATGATTCTTTTATTGGTCCACATCGGGGTCAGATCTTGGTCATCTGAACAAAAGTTTATTTAAATAAAGGCTCTTTAGGTCTTTGTTTAAGAAAATGCTTTCTTTTTGGAGAATTTTTTTCTTGGGGGTTGGGGAGGGGAGGAGAGCAAGAACTAGACAGAGCACAAAACACTGAAGCAAGAAAAGAATGGAAAACAAGTCACTTGCCTCTGGACTCCACACGGAGGAGCTGTCAGTGGCATAGGAGTCTTCAAGTCCCCGGTTATTAAAAGCGGCTTCCATCTCCAAGCTGCCCTCGGTGGACTGGCGACTGAGCCTGTGGACCACGCTGGTCTCTTGGGGAGATGCACCATGGTGCCTGGCATCCCCCACCTCACATAGGGACTGTGCTTGGGCAGAGGTGGGCTCCTCTCCACCATAAGACAAATTCTCAGAATAAGGTAGTTGCCTTGCTCCATCCAAATCTAAATTTGCAATAAGGAAACTATTTCAAATATGTTATTATTTTACCCATTTTATCTAGAGAAACTGAGCAATTAGCAACTACACCAATCAAAACCTCAAAAACAAAACCCACAAAATAACACCTGCAGAGGCATAATTTCATTCATACAATGAAAAACTTGATCCATATAATAAAAAAGACCATTGGTTCATTATGTGGGGTAAAGGTTAAATACTTTCTAATCATATGAGTGCAAAAGATGTGTATTAGAAATCTATTATGAGACTAAATTAGACACATAGGCATTTTGTTGGAGCCAATGACCCCAAGACCTTGGGATAGGTCTAGAAAGCAATAATATCTATCTACTATGGAGACCACATGGTCTCCTGGCTCTACCATTCTTTATTTTCTCTTCCACGTTCAACATATTACCCTCTGTTCAAAAGGCTTCAGTGGTTTTCTCAAGTAGGAAGTTCTTTTCTTGATCCATGCAAAGAACACTGGACTTGGATTCAGATATTCTGGATTTAAGAACTTGAATAATTTGAGCTGCCTGAACCTTTGTTTCCTTATCTATAAAATGATGATAGAAGTCATCAGAGAGACACATCAAATAATATCTGCCTGGTAGCCACAAAGCCTTTCCAAAATATTAGCCTTGCTTACTTGTCTGGCCCATCCTGGCCTCATCCAACCCAGCAAACCTCATTTTCTACTACCTCCCAACTTTATCACCTATGGCCTCACTGGCTCCTGAAAATGCCAGTTGGGTATTTCTGTTCAAAGAGGTGCTCAGCCCTCACTCTTGTCCTTTCCTCCTGCCCATTGGAAGCCTCAGAAACTCAATCTTTCTTGGCTCCTTCAAACTCGTGGTTTTTTTCAGATCTACTTTTCTTCCTCCTGTCCTCTTCTCTCTCTCCCTCTCTCTCTCCCTCTCTCTCCCTCTCTCTCCCTCTCTCTCCCTCTCTCTCTCCCTCTCTCTCCCTCTCTGTCCCTCTCTCTCTCTCTCTCTCTCTCTCTCTCTCTCTCTCTCTCTCTCTCTCTCCCTCCCTCCCTCCCTTCCTTCCTCCCTCCCTCCTTCCCTTCCTCCCCCTCCCTTAGTTCTTCCTTACTCTGTTCATTCCCTGTATCTCCTTTAATGTCTAGGTTACCCTCATATTGGGGGGGTGGGGGGGAACTGACAGTTTCTTCCTAAGCTGTTGCCTTCACCCAGCCTTGCCTTCTACATCCAAAAGGTAGCCAAGGATGTCTCATCTCTTTGGCCTTCAGGCTACCCTAATAGCCCCCATCCCAGGATGAGAGCTATAGACAGTGGTTGGCAAACTGCAGCTTGTGAGCCCTATGCGGCTCTTGGGTGTGGCTCTTCCACAAAATATCATGGCCTGTGCGAGACTATTTTAAAGAAGTGGCATTAGAAGAAGTTTAAGTTTAAAAAATTTGGCTCTCCAAAGAAATTTCAATCATTGTACTGTTGATATTTGGCTCTATTGACTAATGAGTTGGCCGACCACTGGAATAAGTGAGTGGATGACAAAGTATATATAAATTCAGCTCTTATATATACACAGTATGACATCATTTTTTTCTACTGTAAGTCAAAGTTTCAGCTAGAACATACACTCCTTGAAAACACTAAGCCACATACATTTACTGCATCTACCAGTAGACTTCACTAAACCCTCAAATAACTTCAAAGGCTGGGCAGGTACCAAATACTTGTAGCAGCCAAGTGTCTAGCAATTTGGAGTGCTGGTGACAGTGCTTTACTAGACCCACTTATATTAAACATGCAAACTTTAAAATATAGTATTACCTTTGCAAACCGTATGAAAACATTTTCAGGCAGGCTTGGTCCTCAGTGCACAACTTTGGACTTTTCAAAACCCTGACAAGCCATTGAGAAGTTCCACTATCTGCCTTCCTATTCTTAAAAAAAATCAGTTCAGCCCCCATTGGGACACTTTCATAGGACATCATAACATTTTTACATTCGCACTTTCTGTTATTTGGCAAATATACATTTAAAAGGGCCACAGAAAATGACAAACAAAACAAAGACTATTGCATATGCAAAACCCTACAACATAAAGCAGAATTTTCTTCCAAGGCCCTAATTAGCACATCCATTTCTCATATACATGAACACTAAAATGTCCTATTAAACAGTGGGTCATCCATCAACATGTGTAGCACCCAGCAGGGTTTCAGCACAAAAATCTAACTTTGCCAAGAAATTACTCCCATTAAAATTGTCTCATGACTTCAACTCCTACAGTGATAATACCTAGATCAGCAATCAGAAAATTTTTGAAAGCTACATCAAACCTTGAAGAGCTTTTCATAACTGAAAAACATAAGAACTATATTAATGTAACAAACCATTTTCTTAGACAGACATTTCAGGATGAATTAGGCAAGCAAAGCTGGGTGCAAGTCAGGTTTCAAGGAGCAAGAAAGGGAAAGGTGATTCACCATTACATAAAGCAGTCTTCCCAGACTTTAAATTAAAGAAGATCATGTCACCTTAAGCACATATAGAAAAGTAATTGCCTGCTGTCAGAGAAATGTATCCTGGCTTTGTATAAATTATAGGGCATAATTATGTCACATCAACCATATACATTTCAGCAGAGAAATTCTTGGATTTATTTAGTTCATATCCCACTTGGATGGAACGTAACCAATTACTTTCTTTTACACACCCAAACTCCTCTCTCCTACCACCACCCACATACAAATACATTTGCTTGCCATCTATGATAGTTATGGTTAGGTTTCACTGTGGCTAACATAGTCAATCAAACACTAAATTAGGACCTGTTGTTGTATGGGTACTTTGTAGACGGGATTAAAATCCTTAAGCAGTTGACTTTAAGTAAAAGAGATTATCTTAGATAATCAGTCCATTGAAAGGCCTTAAAGGAAGAATGGAGAAGTCCCTGGAGAAGAAATTTCACCTGTGAACTGCTTTGGTTCATACCTGAGAGTTTAAGCCTAGCTTTCTCAGCAGCCATTGCTATGCATTTCAGAACTGAATGTATGATTCTAGTCCCAGCCAGCCCATCTTTCATGACTAAAGATCTGACGCACAGCCTCTGATCCAGATCACTTAGCCCAAGCCCTCTTGGACATGAGCAGGAATGTAGTGACAATTAATGCAAAATAACACTAAGTCAGATACATGGGATAAGAGAGAACTTGGCTAGAATAAGAAGAGAGCATTGTCTTGAATCTAAAATAACCTCACACTCAATCTAGAAGGAAGGATCTCATTTGAGCTGAAACATGAGACAACCTAATAGTAACTCGTTCAAGGTTCAGATTTTACTTGAATTTGGACCTTTAATTTCATCTGTCCAACATTTTGAATGTGTTTTTAAAGTAAAAATTGTCTGCAATTAAATGTGATTGTAGATACTCATGTTTAAGGTAAAGTGGGCGGGGGGGAGGGAACTAAATAGATAACAGACCAAAAAATCCTCATGTATTTTTTTTCATATACACTTACATCATTATTCTTTATTACTGAAACAAATTCACAGATCTTAAGATGAACAAAAATAAATAACAGGAAAAAAAATCATACAATTAAATTTAGCATGCAATTATTTATTCCTATGAAAATCCCTCTGATTTTCTTCAAAATCTACAGGTAATTCATTCACCATAGTGGACTTTTTCCTCTCCCCAGTAGAGAAAAATTTACCTTTTCTATCACCACCTGTCAAAAATTTTAGAATCACCAGTGACAACAAAAGTTTTTGCTAATTTCAGGAAAGGGAGAGGTTAGAGTGGTTGTCAGAACTCCCAGAACATCAGCCAATTGAATAAATCAGAAACCAGACACTTAGACTTCTGGGAAATGAGGCCATTAGCTTTAGAATTAAACAAGCTACTCCTCGGGAATAAACTGCTATTAACTTTCATTAGCTAACATGTGCCCTCTCAGTGGAGAGGGAGGAATGCTGTGATGTAACATGAGAGAGACAGAGAGAAAAGCAGGAGGGGTTATAAGGACACGATGGAGGGCAGCATTATGCTTTGGTTATATAAGGCATTTATTTCTTGGCTCACCTTGGGCTAAAAAGTATAGCAATTCAATATGTTATGTTGCCCATATCAATAAGTAAAATTACATAATGGACCGCAAATTATGATATTCCCACTGAAAAATAGGGTTCTTTTTGTCCATTCTCTTTTTTTCTCTCTCTGTTCTTTTTCTGCCAGCCTCGTCCACAAGCCAAGTCAGAAATTTCCTCTTGATCTCCTCCCAATTTTGGTCTTCCCCTTTTCTCTTTTCTTTTACTACCACTATGTATTGAAAAACCAGGGGAGAGCTACAACTTGGTTGGACTGGCCACAGGCCAAAAGGAAAGACAGAACGGATTAGAGAAGCCAGGTCGTTCAGACCAGGTCACTGTGGTGCACGGCATGACATGTTCTCTAGCTTTGTACCAAATACACTTTGCAGCCTCTTCCCTTTCCCGGTGCCCTGTGCCTACACCGGGCTCTCAGCATAGGAGAGACAGAGATGCCTGACCTTCTCTGGGGAGAGCACTAAGGTGTATTGCCCTGTTGATTTGCAAGGTTATTTTGTGTAAGTGGAAGACACTTAACAAGGCCTTTTCTCCATCACAGGCTGTGCTTACCCTGCCCCCGAGTGTCCTTCCCTCCCTCTTATGGAACGTAAACTTAGTATAAAGATGCTAGAGGAAGGCATAAGACCTTGCACTTGCTTAGCTGGTCTCGTGTGAAGTGTGTGAATGTGTGTGTGTGGGGGGGGGGAGGCCCAGAAATTCTAGGTAATGAGGGAGAGAGTACAGGGCAATTGTGGTTTGAGAAAGATTATTCAATATTATTATGATACATGTTTTTATTTGAAAAATAAAGCATTCCTATTGTCTTACTAATACAATCTATTAAAAGAAAGACTTCAGCCGAAACCGGTTTGGCTCAGTGGTAGAGCATCAGTCTGCGGACTGAAAGGTCCCGGGTTCGATTCCGGTCAGGGGCATGTACATTGGTTGCGGGCACATCCCTGGTGAGGGGTGTGCAGGAGGTGGCTGGTTGATGTTTCTCTCTCATCGACATTTCTGGCTCTCTCTCTCTCTCTTCCTTACTCTCTGTAAAAAAATCAATAAAATATATTTTAAAAAAGAAAAAGAAAAAAGAAAGGCTTCAAAACTTGTCTGAGGTTCCATAATTACCGGAAAATACGGTATGTGGAAAATAGACTCAACATTGCAAATGGTAGCAAAGGCACTGGATTTCAATGTCAGCGGACAGGTATATATAAAGTATTTGAACTTATCAGAGGGAAACAAGATGTTTTAAAGCTTGATAAATACCACTCTGGTCATTAGTGCTCAACATGCACAAAACAGTAACTACAGGAAGGAAGGGATCCCACAAATCAGGGGTCCAGGCTTCGGCACTTATGCTTCCAGTCTCCAGCTCCTTGCAGGATGCCTACCTCCCCCCCTTCCTCCGCCACCACCCCAATCCCACTGCGAAGTATGGAGCAGCTCTTTCCGTCCCAGCTCCTGGCTCCTGCCCCTCTCTTGGCTTTCAGAGGCAAGTGCAGAGTTACGTGACTCAAAGATGTTCTTCCAGTTGGCCTAGATAGAGGAATGTTGGATGCAAAGAATACCTTCACAGGCAGACACCTGGGTTCTGTCCTCTTCCTTGGTAGAGTGCAGATGGCAGACTTTTGGTTTCTGCTCCAATCTTGTCTGCTTGCTTTTCTCAGACACTCTTGCCCGGAAACTCTGGGACCGGGACACAGAAATCTCAAATTGCTTGATCACCTCCTCGTCAGTGTCAGAAGATGTGCACAGCTCGTCATCATCTCCAAAGCTATTCACTGGGAGCAAACAAGAGCCATGAGTCTCCTGTAGGGCCCGCAAGAATACAGAGATAGACCATCACTGAGAAACAGAAGAGCATGGGCAATTGGTCTGGACCAGGCAGTCCCAAAATGACAGAAAGCAATTAAAGCATGGTTGGAACACACATGTGAGTTCATATGAATAAACAGGAATAGACAGCTCATGGGGGGTAATTAGAAGTGCATGGTGAGAACCCAGGAGAAACCATGGGGACAGCCCTAATCTACACAATGAGCCCTCTTGCTGAGCCGGCAGCCCTGCTGATTTGTTATGGTGCTGACATGTTCGTTCTCATTCTCATAACTGGGAAGAGGACAGTTATCCGTCCATGTGCCTCATGTGCAGATCTAGTCACCATGGCAGAAAATATGCTCTTTGCTTCATCTCAGCTGTTAAAACCCAGAGCCAATTGAAATTTGCCAAAAGCCTCCTGGTTTTGAACAGAGATATTCATTATGTGTGTGTGTGTGTGTGTGTATGTGTTATTCTGTTTCTACTAGAAACGTTCTGATGCTTTTCTCAACACCAACAACCCAATCCAAATATCCTTTGAATTACTTATACTGCTTTCCCCAAATTCCCCACATCCTAGCACACAGGTCTTCTCTCAGTTTTTCCAATATGCCCAGATCACACCTGCCTTAGGGTTCTTTGCCTGGAACCCTCCCTCCCTTAGCTCCTCTGTCAATATACCCTAATCACTTTCCAGATCAGCCTGCCTTAAGCGGTTCATAGCACTTTTTATCTTTCTCTCTTCTCTTACATAACTTCCATGAAAATGAAGGTATCACCTGTTTTGTTAACTTATGTGTACCCATTATGTAAAACAATACTTGTTGCATAGTGAGTGCTTAATAGACACTTGTTAAGTGTTGAATAAATTGGTGAACACCCAGTGTTTTATATCCCAACCCCAAAGCACTCCCTACCGCCTACACACAGTTCCCTCTGCCTGGAACACTCCTCAGCCCCCATCCAGACTAGTCAAGAATCTATTAATAGCTCACATTCAGGTCTCAGCATTGACATCAGTTCTAGAAAGCCCTTCCTGACCCCTTAAGTCATGTTCAGGTCTCCTTCCATGTACTAGAAAGTCTCCATCTGCACTGCCCTCACAGTGCTCCCTCCAGAGTGTGGCAGAATTTTTTTGTAATTGCCAACCATTCCATCTAACCTGTGCACATCATGGGGGTAAGAGCTCATCAGACTGCCCAGCTCTGCTTCCCTCCAGGCCCGCTCTCTGTGCCAGGCACATAGCAGACTACTCTGCAAATATTTTCTGAATGTGACTGGGAAATAATAAATAATGAGAAATTATTTTTTGAAATTTTCCTCCTTCCATCCAAAAGTCACACGATGATTATGGGAAGAATGTGGCTGCTAATTCACAGATGGCTCCTGAAGATCACTTCTGAAACAGAAGCTAAGACACTAAAAAGCCATATTTTAAATGAGAGAAAATACTTTAAAACACCAGTCTGAGTCAAAGCACTCATTTTCTGGCTCATGTAAGAGTTGATATTTTTGAGGTTCTTTGGGAGACTAGTAATAGTAACAAGCACTTTCTGAATATGTTTTATGTGCCAGGAACTGTCCTGAGTTCCTTACACATGTTATCACATTTAACCCATACAAAATCTCTATTATTGTTCCTATTTTCCAAGTAAGGAAATTGAGGCAGGGAGAAGTCTATAGCTGGCTAAGATAATACTGCCAATAAATGATAAAATCAAGACTTGAATCAAGGCAGCTTGCCTCTCAAGGCCATGCTGGAGAATCAGAGAGAGGTGGTAGAAGTAATCCTTATTCTGCATACTCACACTAACTAGCTGAATCCCTGTCACCAAGTCCCTTAACCTCTCTGGCCCTGCTCCCTCATTTGTGAGTTATTCCTAACATCTGGATCACTTCCCAGGTCTTTTCTTGATCTAAATTCTCTGACTCCCAATTTCCTCCCCACAGGCATTAAAATTTTATCTATTTCTCTCTCTCTCTCTCTCTCTCTCTCTCTCTCTCTCTCTCTCTCTCTCTCTCTCTCCAGCTAATTCAAAAACACGGAGCACATTGTTGTCAGCTCACTCAATTCTATCAGCTGTAACCAGTGCCATGGGAAGACCTGAGAAGCTAAGTGTCAGAAGAGACTAGATTTTTCATTCATATTCCAATGCATCCCAATAAAAAAAAAAAAACATCACAATGAGCTGCCTGTTCATGTCTCAACATGGGGAGCACTGGACTCTGGAATGGGGTGAACCATCACATATGGGAGACATCCAGAGATATAGTGGGGCAAAATTAAACTTCACCTTTAGAATGTAAGACCAGCTATGCACCTAAGAGGAAGACAGAGGGATATACACACAGGAGGGATGGATGGATTAGACATCTGTTTGTATTAGACATCTCTTTTCAACTCTGAGATTCTATTCTATTTGCATCGCTAGGTAGGCATTTTTAAAATTTAACCTGTCATAGTCATCAATTTCAAATTGAGTGAGTTAGCTCATGGATTATTTCCCCACATATAAAATCAGTAATATAAAATCAATAATAAATCTCTGATAATCACAAATTCTCATCTAAGTTGTGGCTCTTTCATTAATCTATCAGTATATAGTTATACAGTTCTTGGTGTTCTGTTTTGTTTTTCCAGTAAGTCACTGATCACCCACAGAGCAAGATTCACCTCACTGATACAATAATCATGATAGTAATTATAACATTTCCCCCTTACTAAACACATACTATATGTGAGGCACCTTTCTTGGAATTTTGTGTATATTATCCCATTTAATCATCATAGCAACACCAGGAAGTAGAGATTATTCTTATTCCTATTGTAGAGATGGGAAACAGGCACAGAGAAGTTCAGTAACTTGCCCAAGGCAACACAGTTAAGTAGCAAAGCTGAGGCTTAAACACAGAACCTGTATTCTTAGCCACTGTACATATCACCAGACATCATTGCATCAGGACACTACATTCATATCTAGCTTACTTTTCAGGGGAAGTTGAGAGAACTCTGACACTCCTACCCTGAAATCTGCCAGGAGGTTGCCTCCTTTATGAGAACAAAAGAGCAGTAGGAAGAATGGTTAGTCCATGTGGGAGCAAATGCTTACAGACAAGCTGCAATATAACCGGCTATTGCTCCTTATGGGATTATAAATACACTTGCCATGCTATTCTTAGTCTTACTCCCTAAGGGTGTCAGGGAATTCTCTGCCTAAATAGCAAAACCACCATCCTTCCTGGAAACCACTGAGCAGAAAAATAAGTCAAGGGTGGAACTATTATGATGATAAAAATCAGTCCAATTTATAGCACCATGTGCCAATCATTGTCCCAAAACTTTGCATATGTTAGTCTATTTACTCCTCACAATAACCCTTAATGAAATAGGTACTTTACTATCCCCATGGATGGGGAAAGTGAGGTTAGCAATTTGCCACAATAATAACAGTTGATAAATAGTGGAACCAATATTCAAACCCAGGCTGTCTTGCTCCAAATACAATGTTATAAATTATCAAATAATCTCCCTTTAACCATCTACTGTCTCAAGGAAACAACATCTTAAATCCTGGTCAACATCTACATAACTGTGTTTTGTCACTAAGACAAAAATCACATAGGTTGGACTGGAGAGAATTTTCATAAGAACTTATCTATTCTCATTTTCACAAAGAGAAACCAAAACCAAGGAGGCAACATGGTCTGCCCACAGCTATATCATGCCTGGACCAAACATGGGTCTCCCGTGTCCCACATCATTGAGTTTTCTACATTATCTTCCAAGCTCTTTTGCCAATGGGCTATTTTTTCACACTAAAATCTTTACTTGTCTTTATGAATTATTCCAGTGATTATGGGGGTTGGAGAATGGGTGGAGGTGGAAGAGGGTATAGAGGGAATAAATGTTGATGGGGAAAAAATTGCATTCAAAATAAAAATAAACAAATAAAATAAAAAGAAAGATCCCAACTACTTACCTTGTAACGAATCTATGTTGACAACTAAATAATGAATCTGGATTTCACTCAACAGAAATCTTTGATAATCTAAGTTGTGGCTCTTAACTGATATGTAACGGCATATCAAATACCAAGTTCAAACCCCTTTCAAGCTAAGTAACCCAGGAAACGGTGCAGTAGGGATTTGTATTAAAATCTTCACTGCTTCATCTAATTAGCTTGCTAAAATAACAGGAAAAGTCACACAATTACCATGGCTGTAGATACATCTTGAAGTTACCTTGTTCTTTTCCTCAATCACAGAATGGAGAGAGATCTTAGCTACCAACCTACACATCAGACTCTTCTGCATTCTCTCTTATGCACAGCAACTTAGCCTCATCCCTTTGTTCACACACTACTAAGGTGCTACTGTGGGCTTCTTGCTCTGGCAGGAAGCTCATTACTTTGACACAAAGAGAAAGCTATCTATAGACCCATAGATATCATCCTACTTCAATGAAGTTATATTGTCCCTCTAACTTCAATAATTTATTTCTATTATAAATAGATAGTAGCAGAGAAAATGTTATCTCCTTCTTGCACATTTAAGAGGGGAAGGTTGGGCCCTGTCAAGTGTAATATCAGTTAAAACAAGAGTGGTTAAGAATGTGGAATCTGGAGTGAAGCTAACTGAGTTTGAATCTTCTTTTTGCTATTTTGAGGCCTAAGCAAGTGGTCTGCCCACAGCTATCCCATGACAGAACCAAATGAGATAAACCACATAAAGGCACTTAGCATGCCCAGCTTATGATATGTTAACTATTTTAATTATGTCCCATCATGGCAGTGCCCTGTGTAGAAACCCTTTTATGATGCCTCGTAGTTACATGCAAAGGAAAGAATGTGCCTGTTCTTGCAATGTTTGGCTTAAAGACTCATCATAAGAGATGTTGTGGGAGAAGGGTAGAAGAAACAAGAATGGGAAAGGAAAAGGTTAAATTGATATGTGGGTGGTATGG